ATCTGGTCACATATTTTTTCAGATCTCAAAATTTTTTTCTGAAGTTCAAACAAAGCACTGAATAATCTCTTTGCAGGAGAGCAAATAGTCTTGCCCTCTCCAGCCTCCCCTAGACCTCTCCGCACCAGAGGCAGTTTACTAAGATTTAAGACAATGTCAGAAAAATTGAATTTTGTTCATAGGTCAATCATAATCCATACTTAAGTAGCTATATGGCTCTGCTTAGCTGATGCCAATGTCAAAGGAAGACTAAACATTGTAAGCATAGCCATCTGGGCAGCTTCACCATGGAATCACCTGCCACTCCCTACAGATCACTGGGAGAGGGATTGGACAAAGGGAAAGATGGTGTAGCATTCAAATGCAAATGAACACATTCTTTAGCTGAAGACTTCCAGCATTATCATCTAGTTCCGGCCTAAGGGCAGGAAATTTCAAAAGCTGCTTACAATGCCTTGAGAAACCAGCCTTAATTTATCTCCCAGTTAATCTCCACCATTTTTAAAGCTCAGAAAAGAGGTTAAGTACAGCCCAAAACTATGTGCACTGAACTGGCCTTTTCCCTTTATATGAGCACAGAAATTCGAGATGCATAAAAACTTTCTTGAGGAGTGGCTTCGCCAAGTGTCTCCCCTCTCCCACCTCCTGCCTGCTTTGGGGGGAGGGTGTAGCAAATTTACAAATAAGAGCAAAATGAAACTTTTATTTATACAAACATACAAAGAACACAGAAATAGACAGAGGGCTCCTGAGAACAGTCTTCCAACTCTGTGGAAGCCAAACCAAACAATGGCCTCACGCCGACCGGTGGCCCTCTGACATTGAAAGCTGGCCACCCACTAGAACGAGTCTGCCATTGGCCATTCCGGACCTCCACAACACAGAAAATCACAACAACTAACAAGAGGGCGCCCAACATCAACATTTCAACTTAAAACCAGACTTGGGAGAGGTCCACTTTTCTCTCGCCTTTACAAGAGCAAAGAAATTTGCCCAAGAGGCCTCTTCTCCCAGACCCGATGCCGCCACGCCGGCCCAGGCCCCCAAGCAAGGCTGCTGCTGTCGCCATAGCTGCGCTGCTCGGGCAGTCCCCCAAGTAGGAAGTGTGGGTCACCCCAGCAGCTTCGTGGCTCCGCCACCCCTTCTCCAGGCAGCCAGCAAAATTAACCCAGGTGCCTGCCCCCCAAGCCAGGCCACCTCGGCCCATCCGCGCTCTGATGCGCAGACCAAGCCCCAAGGAAGCCCCCGCTCTGTCCCAATGCTGCCAGGTGGCCCTGCACCATCACGCTGGCCACACTTCGCAGGCTACATCCTCGGGCGCCATGCTGCCCGCCAACAACAAAATCAGACCTGGGAAAGGCTCCCGTCACTTTCCCACATGTGAGGCATGGGATCACGCTGCTCACCTCGTCCTAGGAGAGGTTTCCATCCCTCTCCTCATATGAGGGGACCTCTAGGAGAGGATTCCACGTCTCTCCTGCCTGAGGGGCCCTCCCGGGAGGTCAGAACGTCTTCCGAATCCTCCCGCCCGTGGTCTTAATGGCTCGTCTTCTAGACGTATTCTGGCATCAATGATACAAGGGGTTTCCACGTCCCTCCAGAGCGCTCACACAAGGACACGGACATGCACACGCTTACCGCGGCCAGTCAGGCTCTCCGGATCGGAGTCCCTCATGGTCCTGGGGATCCTGGACGAGCCCATATATGTTACGCCCAGAATTCGTGATCCCCAAGGACCACCAGGGAGCCAAGTCTGATGCAATAAACAAAAGAGTCTCTTCCATGCTAGCATGGGCTCTGTCCCACTCATGCCGACAGCATGGCGGAAGAGAGCGAATTTCGCCAAGCCCTGGGGTTTTACTCTGGTGGTGATGTCACTGCTTTGGCTGACCCTGATTGGTTGGGTGAGGGCTAGGGTCCAGTTACACAAAATGGAGGATAACTCCGCCCTGCCCCACAGTGGAGTCAGGAGTTTATACTCGCCCCGCCCTGCCCTCTCATTTAGAAACCAAAACCTTCATAACATTTAAATTATATTTATTAATTTTTATTTGATAAGGCTTTCATGCAAGTTCAAGTAGATTAGATCTGTTAAATTTAAAAAGATATCCTTTAAGAAGAGAGAATAAATTTCTTGTATTACTTCGGGCCCTTGGAGCTTTCCAAGAATCATCTCTGTTAAAGCCTTGAAATTTTAATATGGAAAAAAAAACATCAAATATATATGTCATAATTCCATATATGAATTAAAGATTATAATATTTTTATAATTATCTTAAGATATCAATTATATTTTAAACTAGTTTTGCATAGAAAAATTTTGTTTGGGATCACAGGATTAATCCTCTTTTTAAGTAAACCAGGGGTGTCGAACTCAATCAGAGAAGGGGCCAAAATCTAAAATCCAGCCTAAATCACGGGCCAAATGGTTTACTGAACAGTCATAAACTGACAATGTTAACCAGAAATGTGAATTTAAAATGAGTGGAACAATCTTTTCCTTAACAGTGCTGTTAACCAACTCACATGCTATCAAGCAAAACAGTAATATTGGTATCAAGCAAAACAGAAATATTGGAATGTACCTAAAATTCTCATTGTTTTGTTTTCTGGCTAGATGTCTGACACCGTTTTCCCCGGATCAATGAGTCAATGTTCGGTTTTATTTCTTGGGCTGTAGCAACCCGCAAAACAGCATGGAGGTTGTCATCGGTAATGCGTGATCTGTGCTTGTTTTTGTTCAGATTCATTATTGAAAACATCTGTTCACAAAGATAGGTGCTCCCGAACATGGATAGAATACGGGCAGCATGAAGTCGGAGCTCTGGCATTGAGTCAGGGGGCAGTAGAGGGTAGAAGTCCTCAATTTCAACATCCTGAAACCTTGATTTCAGGCCACTGTCAGACTGAAGCTCGATTATCTCCATCTGAAGGTGATGGGGCACATTGTTGACATCAACTGTAAAAGGATTGGCAAAGATGTCAAAGCCTGAGTGCTGTGTTCTAAAGTCAGAGAAGCGCTGCTCAATTTCACTTAGTAAACGGCTAACTTTGGTAGCCAGCCGACTGCAAGGAAAAGTACCAGAAATAGTGGTTGAGATACTCAAACAAACGGGAAAGTGGGCAAGATTGTCCTGTTCCAGTTGGGACTTCCATAGTTGAAGTTTACGCTGGAATGCTGTGATCATGTCAGACATCTTCGTGATGACTTGTTTGCGTCCCTGCACCTTCAGATTCAGTTGGGCGAGATGCTCGCATATGTCACACATCATAGCAAAATCACATAGCCAGGCGGGATCCGACAGTTCAGGCAAGGGCTTTCCTTTACTTTCCATGAAAAGAGCAATTTGTTCTCTGAGCTCAAAAAATCTTTTGAGGACTGTGCTCTTGCTCAGCCATCTTACTTCTGTGTGGTATGACACGTCTCCATGCTCTGCACCCACCTCCTGTAAAAACTGCTGGAACTGGCGATGATTCAGGCCACATTCCCATATAAAGTTAATAGTTTTAATGACTGTGGTCATTATGTCATTCATGTCCAGAACTTTTCCACACATAGCCTCTTGGTGGATAATGCAATGATAAGTAATCAAGGGTGTGTGGCAGTGACTTTTTTGCATTCTTTCCTTCATTAGTCCAACCAAGCCTTTCTTTTCTCCACACATTGAAGGTGCGCCATCAGTAGTTAGCCCCACCAACTTTTCCCAGGGTAATTTAAAATTATTTATAGATTTCTCCACAGCCTCAAATATATCTCTACCAGTCGTCGTCCCATGAATGGCAGCTACATCCAAAAGTTCCTCAGTGACAGAGAGGTCGGTCTTCGTAACACGTATAAAGATGGACAGCTGCGCTGTACCAGTGTTGTCTGTGCTTTCATCGATAGCAAGTGAAAAAGCGAGATAACTGCATGCCTGTTCGGCCAGCTGTGATGATAGATTTCCTGAGAGTTCTTGAACTCTATCTGCAATGGTGTTTCTTGACAAACTGACATTTTGAAAACTCTGTATCTGGTCTGGGCATACTTGCTCACACACTTTTAGCATGCATTGCTTCAAAAAGGCACCCTCTGAAAAACACCTTGAAGTACGGGCAATTTCTTCAGCCACTATAAAGCTTGCTTTCACTGCAGCATCATTTTTCGCTGTAGCCTTTGTAAACATTTGCTGCTGTGATTGTACTTTGCCTTTTAGTTCTTTAACAATTTTATGCCTTTCTTCCAAAGTATATTTGCCATACTTAACATTATGTTTGGTGTCAAAATGACGACGTATATTGTACTCTTTCATCACCGACACTGTCTCATAACACAATATACACACTGGTTTGCCCTCTCTAAGTACAAACATGTATTCATTTTCCCATTTGTCATTAAATTGTCTGCCTTCACCGTCAACTTTTCTTTTCCTGGACATTTTGGGATCAATATTGGCAGTAAAAGATGTAGTTTATTGGAAATCTGCGTTAGAAGGAAAAAGTTGAAAACTGCACAGGGATAGCTTGATTTGGCAGATGGAGTGGAGAAAAAAAAAGTCAGTCAATAAATGCCTGGCTGGGTACAGATAGCAGATTCTGTTGCGATTTTTATGCCTGCACTTTATGCCAGGAACTGGCAGCTTCTGCTGTGTATTTTTTATGCCCACACACTCACTCTCTCCTCTGCTCTGCCACCCGCACAACCACATCGGATGCCGGACTATAGGTCACGCCTCCTGAATCTCACGTGACTTGTTATCTATGCGCATGCGTAATAGATAGCAAGTACGGTGGCCGGCGAGGCAGCTGGCGAGATCACAAGCCTCCTATGTCACAGTGCGTCATTGTGATGGAACGCAGCAGAGTGCAGTGATGACAGCGCAGTGCGGGCCACATTGCAAGGCCTGGCGGGCCGGATTTGGCCCGCGGGCCTTGTGTTTGACATGTGTGAAGTAAACCAATAATAAGCGACTTATTTATTTATTTATTTTTTTACATCAGTGGAAACTTTATTTTAAAATACAGGGTTAAAAAACATACAAAAGCATTTTGTTATAATTATTAAGAAAGATTTGAGACTGCTATTCCCTCTGCAGAAATGCTATACACAGATGCAAAATGATCAAAGGCCGATGTAATAATGAATCTCAAGTAAGTGGCATAGCCATCATGTGCCATAATTTCTTCATTTTGAAGCTGCCCCTCTGTGTGTCCTAGCTCTCTTTCAATCCACTGCTCAAAACTGTCTGGCTCATTAGATGTGCTCTTTTCAATTCGCAAGGTCCATACAAAGTAACTTTGGATTACAAGCTTTTCAATTCTTACACGTCTGTGAAAACAAGCAATGAACTCTTGGGGAAACATTCCTGTGGTGGTCCAAAATGTTTCTGGATTCCCATCAATTATATTTTCAGGGGGATGTTTTTCATCACTTGATGTAACTAAAATCACTTCAGTCCCTTCAGAGCTCAAACAGAGATCAACTTTTCTCATCTTAAACTGTTTAACCCTCCTCCTTGATCTGGTGGTGATAGGGCAAAAACTAATATATAGATGCAAAGTGACTGGAAAAGCTGTATCTCCCCTGGTGCCTGCCCGGCCCGCTCGCATTTTGTTTTCTCAAAAATAAGTTCTTATACTTTAGGCATTTAATTACCACAACTATATAATTTCTCCCAATTTAATTTGCACTTTGAACTTTAAAAGTCAAGTATATTTAGCATTTCCTAGATTTTTAACACTTTATATTTTTAAGGAAAATATAAGACATAATTTATTGATTCATTTTTTAATGTATTTTATTGACTTTTTTTACAGAGAAGAAGGGAGGGAGATAGAGAGCTAGAAACATCTATGAGAGAGAAACATCGACCAGCTGCCTCCTGCACACTCCCAACTGGGGATGTGCCCGCAACCAACGTACATGCCCCTGACCGGAATCGAACCCGGGACCTTTCAGTCCACAGACTGACGCTCTACTGCTGACCCAAACCGGTTTCGGCAATAGATTCATTTCTGTCCTCTAGGTTTTTTATGAGGCAAATTTAAACTTCACTTTTATTTGCCAGTAACTCTGAAAAATGAGGTTTGGTTTATTCAAATGTAAATTACCACATTTTTCAAAGAGGGCTCCTGCAGGAAATTATATTACCTGTCTGCTGGGGGAAGGGCCTCTACCCCTTCCTCCATTAACAAAGGGCATAGCCATCCCTCACCTGGGCTATTTAGATCTTTATAATTAATACATTATTTATCTATATTTCAACAATTTTTTTGAGATTCAAATCCAATTCCAATTATTTTAAGGTATTTACTTTGGATAAATTCTATAACAGAGAATTTACTGATTTTCTTGAAGGCCTTAAAAGTTAACTTTTTAACTGAAGAAGCTGCCTAGGCCCTGACAGGGCCCCACAGACTTACATCACCAGGTCAGAGCCTCGGGTAATGACTGTGGTGGCAGGTAAGCCGAATTCCTTTTTAATTGACACTGTGGCCACTCATTCTGCCCTCTCTGAATATGCTGGGACCCATGTCCCCTCCTTAGTCTCTATTATGAGGGTTGACAGATCAGTCTCACAGCCATTAGCCACCTCAAATTCCCCCATTCACTCTTTTCTCATTCTACCTCGGTACCCCGCAAGGGCTACTGTGCATCCCCTCATAAAACCCAGTTGTCCCAAACCTCAGTCACCTACCTCAGTTTCACTCTCAATCCAAAAAGCCAAGCCATTCCTGGGACTGTTAGCGCCTTATCTCCTTATCTTGTCTATCTCTAGGAAGAATGCAGGCGGTTTAAAAACTCAAGCTGCTAGAGGCCTGGCTAGCCTGGAAACAGCTGTGGAACCTGTTCCCTCCCTCCTCCCAACCCCTGTCTTTTAGAAATACTCAATGGAAGGTCTAAGGCATGGTTATGCATTTTTGAAGGACATAGAAAGAAGGTTTGAAGGCTAATTGAAGGTTTTTGTGAAGGTTTGTACATGTGATGAAATGGAAGAAAAGAAAGAAAGAAAGGAAGAGAGAGAGAGAGAGAGAGAGAGAGAGAGAGAGAGAGAGAGAGAGAGAGAAGAAAGAAAGAAAAAGAAAGAAAGAAAGAAAGAAAGAAAGACAGAAAGAAGAAGGAAGGAAGG